CGCGGAGCTAATAGGTCCTGGGTCTGAATCCCGCGGGGGGGCGGGATCGTGGATGCGCACTGCTGAGGAGTGCCACAATAGGACGAAACAGCCATCCAGTGCTTCCAGGTTTTCCATGGTTGTCTAGCTTCAATTGATTCATGATTTCAACTGAGATACAGAATCGTTTAAATATCTCTATGATATTAAAAGAGTAATATTTGAAGAGATACAGAATCACTTGTAAGTTTATATCCAATAATACATCATAAAATTTACTTACTTGCTTAATTCGAATCCCGAAAGCAAAATCGTGGATGTATACTATTGAGGAGTCTCATAATAGGACGAAACAGCCGTCCTATACTTCCAGGTTTTCCATATTTACTTACTTACGCCTGTTACTCCCAATGGAGCATAGGACACTGACCAGCATTCTACAACACAATCTGTCCTGGGCCTTCTTTTCTAGTTCCATCCAATTCTTGTTCATTTTTATGATGCCTGTCTCCATTTCTCAAAGTAATGTATTCCTTGGTCTTCCTCTTCTCCTCATTTCACCTTGAGGATTACATGTGACGACCTGTCTTGTGACACAGTTCGGTGCTTTCTTCAATGTGTGTCCTATCCACTTCCAACGCTTCTTCCTGATTTCTTCCTCCACTTGAATCTGATTTGTTCTCTCCCACAGTAGGTTGTTGCTAATAGTATCCGGCCAACGGATTCGAAGTATTTTGTGTAGACAACTGTTAATAAACACTAGTATCTTCTGGATGATGGTTGTGGTAGTTTTTCAGGTTTCGGCCTCATACAGTAGAACTGACTGTTTTGACATTTGTATTGAAAATACTGACCTTGGTGTTGATACCCAATTGATTTGAGTTCTAGATGTTCTTCAGTTGTAAATATGTTACTCTTGCTTTGCCGACCCGCCCCTTCACATCTACATCAGATCCACTGTATTCATCAATCATGCTGCTCAAATATGAAAAGGTTTCTATATCTTTCAAATCTTCTCCATCAATTATGATAAGATTGTTGCATGTTGTGTTGTAATGGAGAATGTTGCTTTTCCTTTTGTGTATATTGAGACCTACTACTACTACTACTACTACTACTACTACTACTACTACTACTACTACTACTACTACTACTACTACTACTACTACTACTACTACTACTACTACTACTACTACTACTACTACTACTACTACTACTACTACTACTACTACTACTACTACTACTACTACTACTACTACTACTACTACTACTACTACTACTACTACTACTACTACTACTACTACTACTACTACTACTACTACTACTACTACTACTACTACTACTACTACTACTACTACTACTACTACTACTACTACTACTACTACTACTACTACTACTACTACTACTACTACTACTACTACTACTACTACTACTACTACTACTACTACTACTACTACTACTACTACTACTACTACTACTACTACTACTACTACTACTACTACTACTACTACTACTACTACTACTACTACTACTACTACTACTACTACTACTACTACTACTACTACTACTACTACTACTACTACTACTACTACTACTACTACTACTACTACTACTACTACTACTACTACTACTACTACTACTACTACTACTACTACTACTACTACTACTACTACTACTACTACTACTACTACTACTACTACTACTACTACTACTACTACTACTACTACTACTACTACTACTACTACTACTACTACTACTACTACTACTACTACTACTACTACTACTACTACTACTACTACTACTACTACTACTACTACTACTACTACTACTACTACTACTACTACTACTACTACTACTACTACTACTACTACTACTACTACTACTACTACTACTACTACTACTACTACTACTACTACTACTACTACTACTACTACTACTACTACTACTACTACTACTACTACTACTACTACTACTACTACTACTACTACTACTACTACTACTACTACTACTACTACTACTACTACTACTACTACTACTACTACTACTACTACTACTACTACTACTACTACTACTACTACTACTACTACTACTACTACTACTACTACTACTACTACTACTACTACTACTACTACTACTACTACTACTACTACTACTACTACTACTACTACTACTACTACTACTACTACTACTACTACTACTACTACTACTACTACTACTACTACTACTACTACTACTACTACTACTACTACTACTACTACTACTACTACTACTACTACTACTACTACTACTACTACTACTACTACTACTACTACTACTACTACTACTACTACTACTACTACTACTACTACTACTACTACTACTACTACTACTACTACTACTACTACTACTACTACTACTACTACTACTACTACTACTACTACTACTACTACTACTACTACTACTACTACTACTACTACTACTACTACTACTGCTGAAACTGGTGCTACACTAGTCATCTTCTCTTGCATTTATTGTGTGATTGATGAATTTCTTCTTAAATAAATAATAATAATTAATAAACAATCTTTAATAAGGTTTATAAATATTCAATCATGAACTGATTCAATTTAGGTTATATAGATATATTCAAAATAAAAATTGTATCCATTTAATCAAAAAGAAAAAAAAACAAAAAAGAAAAAAGAAAAACCGAAAAAAAAAAATAAATAAAATAAATAAATGTCAAAACCTATTAAAATCAATATTGACCAAAACCTTAAACTATTCCAATACATGAATATCCATTTAGGTCATAAGTAATTTAGTTGTGTTGTATATAGATGTATATAGATAGATGTATATATATATATATAACTCAATAAAAGGATAGAGAAGGGAATTATATGTATATATGATCACTTAATTGTTCATTAATGGAATCGGTGATTTACCTTACGTGACAATATGTTGTTGTTGTTGTTGATGTGTTTTTCTTGTTTTAATTTGCGGATAACCTCTTCAAGGATATTGTTAACAGCTTTTTTAGTTTGTTTGTTTGTTTTGGTTGTTGTTGTTGTAAAATATAGAAAGGGGGTTAATCAAATGATAAATAGGGTCATGTTAAACTGTAAAATTATATATATTTCCTAAACAACATCAACAACAACAACAAAAAAAAAGATAAAATTGACCATTGAATAAAATCTCTGATAATAATCAACATATGCTCATTAATGACTGACTTCAAGAGGTATATCTTGGAGTTCTAGTAAGAAATCGTGATCAGTGAAGTTCAACTAGGTCTGTTGTAAGATAGTAACTCATTGAGAACAATGGTGGATGTATTGCTGAATTTTGTGGATTAGTTGAAGTTAGACATTAACACCGTTGGATGGTGGCTGGCTTAGCGCATGAGACGGATAGGTTCTGGATTCGAATCTCACAGAGGGCGGGATCATGGATGCACACTGTTGAGGAGCCCCATACTAGGACGAAACGGCCATATAGTGCTTCGAGGTTTTCCATGATGGTCTAGCTTCAATTAACTCATGATCTCAACTATTGAAATTCTCAGAAATTGTTAAATGAAAAAGATAAAAATTAAATCATACTTTAGAATATCTTACTATGTGTTAGGATATCAGGTAAATAAAGATTGTTTTCTTTAATTATTTATATTCAAACATTAGAAATATTAAAAAACCAATGCTCAAATGAAATGTGTTAAGATAGTAATATTTAAACTAAGAAGATCCTGTGACTTAATGGCGGTGTTAGCTTCAAGTCTTGAAGCTGTTACTTCTAACCCATGGTAGGAAGATGATACTTGGACACTGTTAGGGAGATCCATATAATAAGGAAACAACTATTTAACGAGTGACTAGAAAATCAATATTTATTTTTAGAAGAAAAAAACACACACATTAAGTTGAGATTTATCATAGATTGATATCCACTTGGAGATTATTAAGAACTAATGGTTTTAGGATATTTTTTTGACTGAAATCATGAATCGACTGATGTTAGACCACCGTTGGAAACTTGGAAACACTGGACGACCATTTCGCCCTAGCATAGGTCTCCTCAGCAATGCTCATCCACGATCCCGCTCGCAGGACTCGAACCCAGGGCCTTCAGACCCGCGCGCAAACGCTTAACTTACTGGACCACTGAGCCGGCATCCAATGGTGTTAGTGTCTTACATTAACCAATCCACGAAATCGCTCGACCATCCTCCATTGTACTGAAGTAGATATCTCTCTCTACCCGACACGGATTAGCTCCACTGGTCACGGCTTCTCACTAGAACTCCGAGAATTCCCTTACGAAGCTAGTCACTAGTGAGCACATGTTAATTATCAGTTTTGGGGTTGTAGAGATTATTAAGTTTTTGACTGACATTATGAATAGCTGGTTATTATTTATTTATTTATTTTAACACATAGATAATGGTACAAGAAGGTACCAAATACATATGCGCCACACAAATCTCAATTGATATGTGTAAGGGCTGTGATACTGCCCGGATGCCCAGACCGAAGCAGGCGGTTTTCTTAGGGAGCCACATTCCGAGCCTTCAACCCAAAAGTCTCACCCACAAGGCAGTGGAGCATCGTTAGGTGATGCAGTCCCATGGTAGCCGGTAACCAACAATTGGTTCATACACTATTTGTTCCCTCAGGCAGGATACTAAAGCCCATGTACACCACTGATTTGGGATCCGGTTAAAGCGCCGAATATTGGCTTTTCGTCCTCTCATTTTCGTAGACAACACCCCCGCCATGAGAAGGTAGTGAGTAGGACTTCCCTGGTAGAGGCTATATACGCATGGCCATGTGAGAGCATTTCGAGAGGGAGATCGCACTTTCTCCACTCTCGGACATACCAGGGCATTTGGGGGCAATAGCTAGTTAGTCTTGGTTTGAAACAATTTAGTTGTGTATGAACATAGAGTTCCATCAATGTATGACACTTTATTTATGTTTTATACTTTTATAGTTAATTTTTTACATTACTTCTTTTGTATACATATATATTCATAGGTATGATCGTTGGTGCAATGTGTGCAATTACTGGTGTTATGACTATTTCTCTTCCAGTTCCTGTGATTGTATCAAATTTTTCACGTTTTTATACACATACACAAGCTCAATCAAAACTACCAAAACGTAGAAGACGTATATTACCAGTTGAAGCAGTTCGACCAAAAACTTGTGGTCAAATTACACAATTTAATACATCAATAAAATTAAAAAATAGTTTTGGTGTTATACCACATGGATTAGTACGTAATTTAAATTCATCAAATGGTTCTCCTATAAGATTATCATCAACTGGTGAAAGAAAAAATCTTTGCCCAGATATAACTTCTAAAATAACAGGTAAGTTATTTCTTTTATGAGGTTCTGTATTCGACCCTTCTCTCTTGCTTTCACTTTCTTCTTGTGGTCAACTGGATTATGAGGATCTTGACATCTGAGGGTAAACATGACATACATTGGATAGCTTAGAACCAATTAGACGATTTAGACTTTGCAGATGACCTAGCCCTCCTATCGTATACACACGAACAAATACAGATAAAGACAGCCAGTGTAGCAGCAGTCTCAGCATCAGTAGGCCTCAACATATACAAACGGAAAACCAAGGTCCTTAAATACAACACGGAGAACACTAACCAAACCAATCACATTTGATGGAGATACTCTGGAATAGGTGGAAACTTTTACGTACCTGGGAAGTATCATCGATGAACAAAGAGGATCAGATGCAAATGTAAAAGTGAGGATTGGTAAAGAAAGGGCAGCATTCCTTCAATTGAAGAACATATGGAACTCAAAACAACTGTTTCTCAACCAATATCAAAGTCACAATCTTCAATACGAACGTCAAGGCAGTCAGTTCTACTGTACGGAGCTGAAACTTGGAGAACTACAACAACCACCATCAAGAAGGTACAAGTATTTATCAATAGCTGTCTACGCAAGATACTCAACATCCATTGGCCGGATACCATCAGCAACAGCCTTTTGTGGGAGAGAACAAACCAGCTTCCAGCTGAAGAGGAAATTAGGAAAAGACGATGGAGTTGGTGGATAGGACATACATTACGTAAATCATCAAACTGAATCACGAAGTGTTCTCTAACTTGAAATCTTGAAAGAAAGTGGAAAAGAGGAAGGCCAAATAACATATTACGTCGGAAAATAGAACCAAATATGAAAAGTATGAATTACAAATGGAAAGAACTCGAAAGAATAGCCAAGAACAGATTTGGATGGCTAGTGTTGCTGGTCGGTCTATGCTCTTTCATGAGGAGTAACAGGCGTAAGTAAATTTGACCTTTGACAAGGTTATAAATATGTATTACTGAAGAGTCCCATATAAGGACTTTTGAATTGTCTAGTTCTTCATAGTTTGCAATGGAATTATAACTGAAGTTCATCACTGACTAACATTATCTATAACTTAAATTAGTCTTTAAAAATGTCTTCATAAACGATGTATTTAAATGATTGATTCATTGAATTTGTTTCAACATGGTTATATAAGTCATAAATTCCTTCGCTTTCACTAGTGTTGTGTTGTGTTGTGTTGTATTGTGTTGTGTTGTGTTGTGTTGTGTTGCTATTCCAAGATCTTAACATTTTCCCAATTGAATATATATATATCATTCTTTAGAAATATCTCTCAATAGTTGTTAACTAACATTTAAATGATCATGATATTCATCTTTGGAATATATTGATCATTAGAAAAAAGAGGGAAAAATGAAAATGTATTGATTATAAAAAAAAGAAAATTACGTAATATTATTGATTATTGAAAATTTGGATTACATATCATGACATTTATTTCAAACATTTGTTATGATATTTCGATGAGAATAATGGGAGTGGTAACTGTTAGGATCCATTTATGGATCAATACTATATAGATATATATACTTTGATCGTATTATTGTGAAATGACTAAACTATACATATTCATGTCCTTCACACTATGAGCTTTATTTTGACTTATAAACTATTATTCTACGATTTACCATTCTTAAATTATGCCCGATCTATCAATTAGTACTTCCTTAATTGACAGCTACATTTGGCTAATTCTTGTACAAATACTATTTCCTATTTTATGGTACGGTAAGGTCTGTTTGGTTGATAATATGAACCAAGTATGTTTGAAATAAATGATTTGCATCGTGGAAACTATTATTGACGTTCTGAACTTTACTGGATGAGCTAAGTGAACAATAAGAGATCAATAAGGACACTAAACTACTCATATCAGTCGAATATTTAATTTCGGCGGCCTGTTTGAATATTTGGGCTACCTGTTCCTCCCATCTAGATATTTCGTCAAGTTATCTGTTTTCTTGTTTGTTTTAACACACTATTATGTCTATTGAGCTCACAACCTATTCAGGCGCGTTTACGAAAAGTGTACAACCTTTCGCTGTACGGATTACAAAAAGGTACAACCAGCGACATCATGGTGGCTTGCAATATGCATTGAAACGAATGAACATTATTCAGATGTCGATTATCGAACTCCTAACATCTAACGGGCCATCACTCAATATTTATCGTCAGGATCGATCAAGATATAAGAAAAGGAAACTTGTTGAAATACTTTATGCTGAGAATTCAATAGTGTACCACAAATATAATGTTGAATAAAGCTTATAATAATAATAATAATAATAATAATAATAATAATAATAATATCATTAGCGAATAAATTACATGATAGCTAGCTGATGTTCAAATCACAACAACAACAGTAAATATGACAACTTCAATATTGAACTATTTATCTTAAACTATTTCACATGATTAGAATCATTCAATGAACTTGTATAACTGGTTGAAACCATGAGTCAATTGAAGTTAGACCATTATGAAAAACCTGGTATAGGACCTAGAATAGGACTCCTCAACAATGCATATTCACGATCCCACTCCTTATGAGATTCGAACCTAAGACCTATCAGTCTAGCTTCAATTGACTCATAATATCAACTAGTGAAATTTCTAAAATCTCTACAAAACCCTCTTTGGATAACTTATATACATTTTCTATTATTTTATTATAAATAAATAGAATTTCTATCCTACTAAAAAAAAAAAATTATATCAGACAATTTTCACCTTGTATCTTATTGATTTCATATGATTTTTATTTAATGAGATGTACAAATAGTTGTTGGGTTGGTTGGTTGGTTGGTTGGGTGGGTGGACGGGTGGACGAGTGGTTGGATAGGTGGTTGTATGGGTGGGTAGGTGGGTGGGTTAGCGATTGTATCCTTTTATTCTTCCTTAATGATTTCAAAGAAAATATTCAAAAGATTGCGGAATAATGTATAAATTTTTTTAAAAATATGCATAGTATAATATAAATGTATGTTAAAGCGGAAACGGTTAGACAAATGTATATATATATATATATATATATGACTAGTGACAATTCTCAACTGAACATTGTGTACTATTAGAACTTGTACAACTGGTTGTCATTTGTTTTCTGTCTTATTTTCTTCGCTTTTTTTGTTATTGTTGTCGTTGTTGTTGTTGAGACTGTTGTGTGAATGTTAAATTTGTATTATTGTAAGTTGACCTACTCAATTTACATTTACGAAAATTCAGCTGCTTCTGTGGAGATAGTTATAACAGATGTACTACTAGGTAACTTAACCAAAGAATGAGTAAACATCTACCAGCTTGGTTTATGACTTACTTACTTACTTACTTACTTACTTACTTACTTACTTACACCTGTTACTTCTCAAGGAGGAGCATAGGCTGACCACCAGCACTCTCCATTCTTTCCAGTTATTACTTACTTACTTACGCCTGTTACTCCTCGTGAAGGAGCATAGGCTCACCACCAGCATTCTCCATCCAACCCTGTCCAAAGCAATCCTTTCAAGCTCTTTCCAGTTCTTATTCATCCTTTTCATATCTGCTTCTATTTCCCGACGTAATGTGTTCTTTGACCTTCCTCTTTTCCGCTTCCCTTCAGGATTTCAAGTTAGCGCTTGTCTCGTAATGCAGTTTGATGATTTCCTCAATGTATGTCCTATCCATTTCCATCGTCTTTTCCTAATTTCCTCTTCAGCTGGAAGCTGGTTTGTTCTCTCCCACAAAAGGCTGTTGCTGATAGTATCCGGTCAATGGATGTTGAGTATCTTGCGTAGACAGCTATTTATATATATATACTTTCACTTTCTTGATGGTGGTTGTTGTAGTTCTCCAAGTTTCAGCTCCGTACAGTAGAACTGACTGCCTTGACGTTCGTATTGAAGATTGTGACTTTGATATTGGTTGAGAAACGGTTGTTTTGAGTTCCATATGTTCTTCAGTTGAAGGAATGCCGCTCTAGCTTTGCCAATCCTCGCCTTGACGTCTGCATCTGCTTTCCAGTTATCTCCAGTTGTTATTCATCCTTTTCATGTCTGCTTCTATTTCCCGACGTAATGTGTTCTTTCGACTTCCTCTTTTCCGCTTCCCTTCAGGATTTCAAGTTACGGATTGCCTCGTGATGCAGTTTGATGATTTCCGTATGTATGTCTTATCCACCACTTCCTCGTCAGCTGGAAACTGGTTTGTTCTCTCACACAGAAGGCTGTTACTGATGATATCCGTCCAATGGATGTTGAGTATCCTGTGTAGACAACTATTTATAAATACTTACTTAAATCCTTACTTGAAATGTATCTGTAAGCTGTCCTCTATTCACGACTTTGCACTTTAGTCCGTCGTATGCGTTTCGGATGATGTTGACGATCTTCTCAAGTACTCTATAGTGTCTAAGAAGATTCCATAATGTTCTCTTGTCTACACTGTCGAACGCCTTTTCATAATCAATGAAGTTGATGTACAGTGACGAGTTCCACTCAATTGACTGTTCAAAGATGATCCGTAGTGTCGCAATTTGGTCTGTGCACGACCGATCCTTACGAAATCTAGCCTGTTGGTCTCGAAGTTGGGAATATACAACGTCTTTCATCCGGTTCAGCGACACTCTGTTAAAAACGTTTGCTGGTACTGATAGTAGTGTGATGCCTCTGTAATTTTCACACTTGCTCAGGTCTCCTTTCTTTGGAATCTTAATGAGATGTCCTTCTTTCCAGTCAATCGGCACTTGTTCCTCCTCCCAAATCTTCTTGAATAGAAGATGAAGCATGTTCGTAGTTACTTCAATGTCTGGCTTCAGTGCTTCAGTTGTTATATTGTCCGGTCCTGATGCTTTCCCGCTCTTGATTTGTCTGGTGACCATTCTGATTTCTTCTGTCGTTGGTGGATTGACATCTATAGGAAGATCTGTGTGTGCTGCCTCGATGTCCGGTGGATTCATTGGAGCCGGCCTATTCAAGAGTTCCTCGAATTACTCTGCCTATCTGCTCTGCTATTGTTGAATTTCAATGATTGGCCTGCCTTCTTTGTCTTTGATCGGTCTCTCTAGTTTACTATACTTCCCTGCTAGTTTCTTCGTTGTGTCATACAGCTGTTTCATATTTCCTTCTCTTGCCGCTTTCTCCGCCGTCGTTGTTAGTTCTTCCACGTATTTCTGCTTGCCGGCTCCAATGCTCTTCTTCAATTGCTTGTTTGTTTCTGTGTACTCAGCTTGTGTTTGGACTTTCTCTGCTCGTGCTCGGCTGTTGTTAATTGCTGTCTTCTTGTTCTTCCTTTCTTTGATCCTGTCTAGTGTTTCTATAGAGATCCATGATTGATTGCAGCCTATCGCAGAACTGATCTTTATCGTCGTCATTGCTATCATTGGTGGGTGCACAACACTGGATAACATTCATTGTGATTCCCTCCTTCTTTGTTTTAAATGATGCTTTGATGATTCTGGATCCGTGAGATTCCCATCATACAAGTGAATTTTGTGCTATGTTGGACAACATTAGAGCAACTCTCTGAGTGTGTGGAGCATTTTCCTCTTCGTGACCGAAGTATAGCAGCATCTCTCCCGTATTTAGCCTTTGTTGTCCAGCTTGGGTCCAATGGGTTTCTCTAATTCCCAGTACTGCCAAGTTGTATCTCCTCATTTCCGTTGCTATTTGACTGATGTTCCCAGTCTCTCACATTGTCTGGACGTTCTAAGTACCTATAAAAATTGTTGTTATGGTTGTTAGAATGGTCATCGGCCTCGTGACTTCCAAAGGAACTCAGCTTTCACCATGAGGCGTCATAGTTCTTCCAAATGAAGACTTTCTAACTCCTAGGGCAGAGTTTAAATGGTTTGAGTTATTTTTTCTGGTTAGCGTGTTTTTAGCGAGTTAGTTTTCTATGGGATGGGGTAGCCAACCCCATGCCTAACTCTCCCCATTTACACGGGCTTGGGACCGATGGTAAATCTAGAAGAGTTACAAGCAGAGTTCATGGTTTATGAAGGGCATACAACAACAATACGCAGTTCTATCTTGACTCATCTAATTGATAGAGGTCATAATGTAGATAAATCCGAATCATTTCGAAGGATCTATCATATGCCTCTATCATTTCTCAATGAAGTTCGTTCCCCTCTCCTACATATAGCTGAAGCTATAGGAATACGTACATTTCATACCAATTTATGTGTACAGATGAAATCCGTGACCCCCTATTCCTTTCATGGCCGGATATTACATAACAAATGACATTTCTTTCTAGAATTTCATTTTACTTTGGTTGTCATTAGCATTATTTTCACATCCGGTATTTGTTTGTTATTTTCCGCCTCTTTCTGTTTGTATTCCTCACTATCTACATATTTACACACATCTTTTTACGTAATGGTTATAATATTTTGTCTCTTTACTTACATCTAACCTACTATTTCTAATGTTTAACTATTGATAAGATTTTTATTATCGTATTTTATTATTCTTACTACTATCAGTACACCTATATTCCTACTATCATCAACTTATACTTTTATGAAATATATATGCGATGATGTAACCTATTTCATTATGATTATTGACTCGCGCTCGCGAGTGAGACTGATAGGTTCTGTGTCCGAATCTCGTGAGGTGAGATCATGGATACGCAACCTGATGAGGAGTTCCACAGTGGGACGAAACGACCGTTCGGTACTTCCAGGTTTTCCATAATGGTCTAGTTTCAATTGACTCATGATCTCAACTTACTTACTGTTACCCCTCGTTGAGGAGCATAGGCCTTCCACCACCATTCTACATCCAACTCTGCCATCGACTCTCCCTTCCAGTTCTCTCTACTTTTTATTCATCCTTTTCATATCTGATTCTATTTATCTACGTAATATGTTCTTTGAAATTCCTCTTTTCCGCTTCCCTTCACAATTCCGAGTTAACGCTTATCACGTGATTCAGTTTGATGATTTCCGTAATGTATGTCCCATCCATCAACTCCATCGTCTTTTCCTAATTTTCTTCTTTATCTGAAAGCTGGTTTGTTCTATCCCACAGTAGGCTGTTGCCGATGATATTGGGTCAATGAATGTTGAGTATCTTGCGTAGACAGCTATTGATAAATACTTGTACATGTTTGATGATGGTTGTATTAGTTGTCCAAGTTTCAGCTCCGTATAGTAGAACTGCTTTGATCTTCATATTAAAAATTGTGACTTTAATATTAGTTGAAAGTTGTTTTGAGTAATTATGACTCTCTTAAGATAGCCAAATGCCTCATCATCTAATTGGCAGGCGCAGTGCCTCGTCTCTTATGATCTCAACCATTGAAATGATCAAAGTAAAGCCTAATGACTATCTAATTGAAAAAAATATTATTCGTTTACATATAGTATTCTAATTCTATTTTTCTTATTCCTAACATTTAGATAATTCATCTAATGAACAAACTATTCTTAAACCATTAATACCAAGACGTGAAGAAATTCCATTATTACCTAAAGAGAACATACCACAATATCAAACATCTATGAATTGGCCTAAATCATCTATTATTAAAGAAACATCAACTGGATTCCTTTCACAAACATCATTAGAAACAAATCGATTATACATGAATAATGAAGGAAAAGATCCAGTCACATTAAAACAATCAAATAAACATCAATTATTTGATAATATAATTGGTAATACAACTATAGTTAATCGTATAGAGGATAATGAAAATGATGATGATACTACTACTACTACTACTACTAATAATAATAATAATAATAATAATAATAATACTGAAGATATGAAAGATAACATTAAAAATCAATATTTGCCAGCATCAAATAATTTACTCGAGAAAAATTATAAAACAACAAAGAATACTACTTATAATAGTAATATAAGTAGTAAAAATAATAATGATGAAATTTCCTATTCAATAAATACTAAATTATCATATATCAATTATAAAACACCATGTTTTTCATTTGATGAACATAATAATATAGAAGAGAATTTTTTACCATCGGATAATAGTTTAAATCAATTAGAAGAATTATTAACATTACATAATGATAACAGTAATAATTATTATGAAATTACCCCACCCCGTTTATCATGTGTATCTGGGGATAAATTAGAAATGAAATTTATTACTGGTTCAAATGCACCAATATAATTTCTATTGTAGAGTATGGATGTATGTATGTTTCTGTCTATCCACCCATCTATCTATCTATCTATCTATCTATCTATCTATCTATCCATCTATCCACTCATCTATCTATCCATCTATCCACTCATCTATCTATCCATCTATCCACACATCTATCTATCTATCTATCTATCTATCTATCTATCTATCTATCTATCTATCTATCCACAGATCTATCTATCTATCTATCTATCCACAGATCTATCTATCTATCTATCTATCTATCTATCTATCTATCTATCTATCTATCTATCTATCTATCTATCCACAGATCTATCTATCTATCTATCTATCCACAGATCTATCTATCTATCTATCTATCTATCCACAGATCTATCTATCTATCTATCTATCTATCTATCTATCTATCTATCTATCTATCTATCTATCTATCTATCTATCTATCTATCTATCTATCTATCTATCTATCTATCTATCTATCCATCTATCCACTCATCTATCTATCCATCTATCCACACATCTATCTATCTATCCATCAACACATCTATCTATTTATCTCTTTATATGTTATAATTACACTACTTATGAACGAAAAGCCAAAAAAAGTAATATATTGATAGACTATGAATAAAATTCACTATTATTCATAGAATTGTATTTAATGAAATATTCTGTTGCATTTTGTTAAATAATCAATGTATTTTGTAACTAAGCAACAATCGGTAATTTATCATTATTATTACTATTATTACTATTATTATTATTATTATGTAATACATTATTGTTAGAATGATTGGATGAAAACATTAAAAAGAAAAATATTGATTTGCTAAATGTTTATTTACGACGATGACGATGACGACATCGACGACGACGACGACGAGGACGACGACAACGACGACAACGACAAAAAGAAAACATATTTGAACAGTGATTGAAATTATTCTATCGTCTATAAAATTATGATGTAATTATATTAAGTAATATTTTGTAATGTATTCATTGAGTAATGAAATACAAAACAGTGTATATTTTAACTACTACTTTATATAACATTTCATTAAAGTTACAAATGTGTATATAGAAGGGGTTTTGTAGATATTATAGTGATTTTGTTTTAATAGTTAAGATTATGAATCAATTGAAGTTTGATCATCATGAGAAACCTGAAAGTAATGGATGACTGTTTTGTCCTGTTTTGAGACTCCTCAGCATTGTGTATACACAAGCCTATCTCACAAAACTCGAATACAGGATCTATTAGTCTCGTTAACGAACGATTAAACTCTAGACCACTTGACTAGTCTTCAGTAATAAGGATAGGAGGTCTATCGACCTGTATTGATCCTTGCAGTTTGTAATACTGTGGAGGTCCAATCTCTTTTTGAATATATCAACAGAAAGTGCTGATATTACGTATTCCGGTAGAGAATTCCAATAATTCACTACTCGATGCGAGAAATGAAACTCCAGACGTAAAAGATTTGATCTCGGTTTTTGAATTCTTTCGAGTGTCCTCTCAAAATATCAGTCCTAGACGGAAGTAAAAGATAGGACATGTTAATACCAAGGTCATTATTCAGTATACGATAAGCCAATATTAGATCACCCCGTATTCTACGGTAAGATAACGGAAATAAGTTGAGGTGTCTCAATCTGTCTTCATAAGATAGTCCAGATAGACTTTGTACCATCTTAGTACCTCGTCGTTGGACTCGCTCCAGCATATCTGCTTCATACTTGAAACAAGGACTCGCTGCTTGAATCCCATATTCTAAATAAGGTCGCACATAAATCGGGTATAGTAATCTAAACATTTCATCATCTAAATACTGGAAAGACCTACGAATAGACCATAATACCCTATAGCCTTTCGCAGCAGCAGCCTTACAGTGACTAGTAGTTTTGATATCACTACTTAATATGACTCCCAAATCTTTATAGTTTCTTACTTTGGGTAGTAGGAATCCACATATTGTATAGTGATACGATTCATCATCCTATAGTATGTATCACCAGGACGTCAAACTGGCCATCATCCAATAGTGTTAATATCTAAATTCAACTAATCTACGAAATTGAACGACATATTCACCATTGTCTTCAGTGAGTTACTATCTCACAACAGACCTGGTTAAACACCATTGGTTACTGGTTCTCACCAGAACTCCAGGAAATACCTCTTGAAGCCGATCATTAGTAAGCATATGATGATTAATATTAGAATGTTTATAGTTAGTTAGATCACTTCATTTTCTTACATAAAATATAAAGTACTAAAAAGGAAACAGTGTTTTCATCTTTTGCTAAACTGTAATTCAAAAAGAGTATTTCCTGAGCAAATGGGGTTTCTCTATTCTAAATGAAATCAAACTTATTTGTTTGTTTGTTTGTTTAAATATCAACATGAAGAAAAGCATTGAGAAGATTTGAACTTCTCAGATGCCCTAGTATTTCTATTCCATACACACGAACAAATGCAGATGAAGACAACTAATGTAGTAGAAACCTCTGTATCAATTGGCCTTAACACACAAAAGTGGAAAATCCACATCCTCAAATACAACACGGAGAACACCAACCAAAACAATCACACTTAATGGCGAAACTCTGGAAGATGTGGAACCCTTTATGTACCTGGGAAGTATCATTGGTTAACAAGGAACATTGGATGCAGACGTTAATGCGAGGATTGGTAAAGCATGGGCCACATTCTCAAAGTTGACGAACATATGAAACTCCAAAAAAACTGTCAACCAATATCAAATTCAGAATTTTCAATACGAACGTCAAGACAGTTCTACTGTACGGAACTAAAACATAGAGAACTACCACAACCATCATCAAGAAGTTTCAAGTATCTATAAATAGATGTCTACACAGGATATTCAATGTCTTTTGACCGGATATCATCAGCAACAGACTACTGTGGGAGAGAACAAACCAGCTTCCATCTGACGAGGAAATTAGGAAAAGACGATAGCACATACATACGGAAATCACCAAACTGCATCATGAGGCAAGCCATAACTTGAAATTTTGAAGGGAAACGGAAAAGTCGAGGACCGAGGAGAAAACTGTGTAAATAATTACAAACAGATATGAAAAGGATGGATAGCAAGTGGAGAGAACTGGAAAGGAGAATCGATGACAGAGTTCGATGGAGAATGCTGGTGGACGGCCTATGCTCCTAGACGAGGGTTAACAGGCGTAAGTAAGTAATTTCATACAATGTAGTATGTTATTATTTCCCAAATGAATGCGGGATAGTAATGAAGTGAATCTACCAGGTAAATATGTCAGTTTTACTATAACTAATCCCCTTATACTAGTATTAATTACGTGATCACTAATGACTAGTTTCAAAATGAAACACATGGAGTTCTGATGAGAAGCCATTACCAGTGGAGTTCAACTATATAAGGAATGTGCGATAGTTTTCCACTACATATGGTAGTAGATGATTGCGTAATATCTCAAACTAATTGAAGTTAAAGATGCAAAGAACCCGATACCAGCTTAGTGATCTATAGGTGCAGCGCTCATTTCAGGACCTGAAGGTTTTTTATTCGATTCCTGGCTATGAGATTTTAAACGGTCACTGATGAGTCCTATTCTAAGGAAACGGTTATCTAGTGCTTACTGGTTCTTAATGACGGTCTAACTAAGACTAGATCGTGATTACAACCATGAAATTAATTATGTGTTTTGTAAATTAGTTACTTTGATATTGAAAGTAGTTAGAGTCAACCAATAATAGTAATGAAACGAAAGTGTTGAATGATTGTTATTCTAAATGCGTTAAATCGAATATTAAGAGCAAGTGTAGTTGACGCTACTCATGAGAACGTTCGTAGGTAATGTGTAGTGGAACGTTTTTGTCAAGTTTGCAACAATTGTCGGATACAGTGAAGAGTTTCAGTACATCAAAAACATGGCTTAAGCAGAACACTTGGAGGTCAGTCGAGAAGATAGTTCTGAATGCAAAACACATAGGAAGATTAAAATGAACGATTGAAGGCTATACATATGTATTATGTAAATAGTTTGTAACTTCTCGCGAACAAGATGCATATGTTCTGCCTGTTGTTACTTTTTACACAAGTTCTTACATTGCATGATCATAACAAACACACTTTGAGTATTTCTTACATCATGGACAGATTTTAGTTAGAAAACTATTGAAATTCAGAGAGTATTGGAAAGCTGCTTCATCTTAACATGGGACTCCTAAACAGTTGACAATCATGAATGTGAAGATGTCACAGGTATTTGGAGTTTGACAACGCTTTAACCAGTAACACTTTCTACTATGAATCGTACCTACCAAGTGAAATCAAAAGACAGAAACGAAGAGGTTCGAAGATATATTTGATAGGCTATCAATATATCGCGGATCAATAGATCTAGACTGGCTAGCAATTGCAGCGGTTGTTGAACAACGGCGTTCTCACTCGTGATCGAGTGCGGATGCATGACCGAGCGCCTTCAGCTAGGTGAGATGTAAACTAAAAACAAAAACAAAAACAAAAAAAAATTTATCAGTATTGTGGTTGTGGAGATTATCAAGTTTTTTGATTGAGATCATGAATCGACACTAACACTAACATACTAACACCATTGGATACCGGCTCAGTGGTCCAGTAGGTTAAGCGTTCGAGCGCGAAACTAAAGACCCTAGTTTCCAATCCCGTGAGCGGGATCGTGAATGCGCACTGCTGAGGAATCCCATACTAGGGCGAAATGGTCGTCTAGTTCTTCCAAGTTTCCAACGGTGGTCTAACATCAGTTGATTCATAATCTCAATCAAAAATAAAGTTAAATGGTGATTACATAACTTTCTTCCCTCTGATTCAAATATGAACACGTGAACAACTATTGATAAAATTTAGCAAACTATGATAAAGTAACTATCTAGAGTTCTATATATCTTAATAATTCTCCACCTTGTATCAGTTTATAACGGAAATCATTGTTGTAACTGTGGGAAACTGATACTTGAGATATAAGAAAATACTGATCTATACAAGATATAAGAAAGAAGTTTAAAAAGAAAACTGATTCCAGATAAAG